TTCTGCTTTTCCTGCTTTGTTATGACCTGTGTCACTAGGATCAAGTGCCTTTCCTCCCCCTGGCTTTCCCCCTTCCACTCCAGATCCTTGCTCCCGAGTGGATGTTTGGGAGTCTTCACAGTAGCTGTGCTGCATCTGCTGTAGGACAGAAGGAGTTTCGSCATGCACAGACTGAAGACTAATTAGGTCTACAAATCATGTCTTGCCTCTGTTCTTCAACCGTGATGGTGAAGCAGTCTCACTTCTGGTTTGGATTTTCTTCTAAGTCCTGAGGCTGATGGAGGTCGAGAGATACCATGTAAAAGACAGGTTGATACAAGAACCAGAAAGAAYAGAAGGTGTGGGTCTCTCAAGATCTCATTGAAACAGAGAAAACCAGAAAAACAGTATAAAAATAAAATCAGTCAAAGCATTATAACTATMCTAAGACCAAGCATTATAAGTATCTCAAGACTCAAGTCTCTCTCACCCAAACAGGAAACCTGATTTATTCCTCACCTGCAGTCAGTCCCTCTTTTATCTTCTTACTGTATGCTTCACATCCAGGTTTGTACTGTCACCTAAAATAAATTTGCCTGGAGTCAATCTTAAAGCTGTTCAGAGATTTTAAGTATTTCCTTGGTAAATTCTACAAAGACGATGTCACGTATCAAGGTACTCTGAGAGGGCTGTGTTATAGGGAAACCAAGATGATGGAAAAGGGAGAGAATAATGGACTTCTGTTCACAACTTCAGACCTATAGGATGTATCATAAAATATAGTTCTGTGCATGCCTTCCAYAAGTGTTCTCTGGTGGTCACAAGCAAGCAGGAATGTCAAATGTAAGTGGAAATGAAAGCCTTTTATTTCGAAGTCCTCTGGCTGKGCTGTGAGAAGCCATCTTCGAGCGGGGCCTCCCATRGTAATTACAGCCATGCTTTACTGAAAGCACATTTTGTGCACTCCGTGTGGGGAGCGATAGGACTTCTGAAAAGGCAAAGGCTCGAAGAACTCCCATATGTTTCTGATCGAATTTTAAGTCTAGACTTGCTTTATTTAGTTTCTTTTGCTCTGCATTTGCCTAGCTAAAGCTTTTAGGAGTTCTTTTAAAACTGGAAACATGGGGTGTGCTGCTTAGGTTAAAAATAAATGTAAAAACTTTTCCTTTTTTTAAAAGAGTTTTTGCATGGGGGTAAGAGCTCCCCTCCATTCAAAACCCCACTGAGYTCTTCAAAGGAGGAGTCTGCAGCAACATCAGGGAGTTATTAAATACATACTTAGTCCACGATTTTCATTGGTAAATTCTTTATGTCTGCTTAATGTGTGCTAGTTAGAAGAACTGATTCTTTTTGCAGACTCGTTTACTCAACCCCAGGGGGACCTATGATCTCCTGCCCCTTTAGCACTAACTTTTACAAACAGTTTCCTTTTTTTTTTTTACAAAAAAAAAGCAAAACAAGTAACAACAACCTCAAAAAAAAACCCAAGACAACAGACTGAATTAAACGGGCCAGGCAGCGGGACACGGCCCCAAAACTCGAAAAGCCAGCTGAACTACTGGCGACAATAAGCAAAAGGATTTCCCTCAGCAGTGACATTTTTATAAGGAGCGTTCTGTGCAGCAGGAGCCGCCTCTCGGGGCCGGAGCAGCGCTGCCCGGGCTGTGGGAGCCGCGCCGATAACGCGGACAAGGCCGGCCCGCGCCGTCTGCGCCGCTATCATCTGCTGGCCTCAGACTAAACATTTAATTGCGCTTAGTCACATATTTACTCACTGAGATGGCAGCTAGCGCGGAGCAGGGATGCGGGGGAGGTTGTTTTTCCCCGTTTTGCCTCGCTCGGTCCCCGGGCAGGCTGGAGCTCCCCCTGGCGCTCCGCAGGGCGGGTTCCTGGGCAGCGCTGCCGTGGGTAACCCTTACAGGCTGCCGAGCCTTCCCTCAGAGCTGCCTGCCTGGGGGAGCCCTCAAGTTGGCTGTGTTGTCTCAAGGTGGCCCAGGCTCCTGCACCCGTCCGTGGGCTCCCAGCCACTGCTCCGACCGTAAAGGAGCCAGCAAGAGGCAAGAGACACGTGGCTTGGGCTCTCCTCCTGGCTTTGGGGTTGAGATTCCTGTTTAGGGGTGAAAAAAGGGCTGAATCCTACTCCCAGTGTAGAAATGGTCCCAGAATGACTTGTCACCTGGACAGGGAAATCTAGGACAGGCAACTTCAGAGCTTGTTGTTTCCTTCACTTGGACCTGAGYTCCAGCTGGTGGCAGCTGACCCTGTGTGCCAGTGGCTAAGGAAGGTGAGGTCTGTTCCCCAAACGGAACCCGCTGTGCTCTGCCCAGGGCCTTGAGAGCACAGTTCCCTTTCCTCCACTGCCGGCACGTGGAACTGCAGAGGGCCCAGGACACTGAGAGCAGCAGGGCTATTGCAGGGCTTTTCCCAAGTGCTGCCTTTCCCAAACATCTGCCACTCCTGGAGAAGGCATCTGTGCTCTCCAGGTGCAGGTCCTGCCCCCCAGGCCATGGTGTGGAGGGTTAAGGAGCTGGAAGTGCATGGGAGGCAGACAAGGGGGGCTCTGCCCATTCCTCATGGACATTTCTTGCCATGCCTGCTGGGAAGACACATGCAAGTGTTTGTATCAGAGCTTCCCAAATACACGTGTGTCTCCACTGGGACTATCCACAGCTGGGGGGGAGCGTGGCTGCAGGGTCCCGTTGCTGAGCAGTGCCACAGGGAGAACAAGGCTGGTGTGGCTCAGAGCAGCTCTTCATCAGAGGATCCCCTTGGGGGGTATCAGCTTCTCCTTGAAATGCTTGGTACTCTGGAGTGGGAAAGAGCTGATGGGGATTTTTTCTGTTCAGGTCTGCACTGGACTTCAATGAAAATTTAAAATAGTGGTCASTGTGCAGTAACAGCTCTGGTTCAGGGAAGAAACAAAGCTCAGGCCTGATTCTGGTTCAGGTTTGGTTTGACTGATTATATCCAGGAAATCCTCCCACTGTGCTCTCCAGTTTCTGATCCTGCTGTGTTAAGTAGTCATTTGGCTAAATTGCATTATTTGAATACAGTGGGCTGCATTTAACCTGGTATTAAAATGCATGTTTGGGCTTGTATCTTTTAAATTTGATATGAAGACAGCTGTATGCATTTTCCCTTGTTTGTAAATTGTATACATATGATACGATGTTTTCAGTAAGCGCTAAACAATGCAATGTGAGGCATTTCAACAAAGGAATAATTTAATGCAACCCAGCAGAAATGCAGAGCCTTAGAAGTGGTTCTTTATGAAACTACAAATTTTGGAAATGGGTCCAGAAGACCTACACTGGAGCAACACAAGAAACAATAGTTAACACAGTAACATTTTTCCTGTAAGAAAAATACACCATGAAGAAATTATATTTCGCCTATTTTTTTTAGCTTGTTGATTTATTTGAATGCTTTAGTTGGCATATTTTGTATTTACTGCATGGTAGGGATTAAAATTCTCATTTCTTCACCAAAAGAGAATATTGTCACACAAGATGCACTTTGAGCCAAACGAGTTTTTTTTTGTCAAGTGTAAATTTGTCTCACATATTTTGTTCCAGTTCAAAGAAAATTAACACATTGTTACATTCTTTTCATCTTCAKTTTAGCTTTAGCAGAATGAGACATATTTCCTTTGTATTCTTATTGAGAGCTAGAACTGTCCCTCCTTGCACAGGTGGAGGATGGGTTAGGAAGGGTTGCACAGTTTGTTTGGGCTCTTAATGAGCTCTGGTGGAGATGGTGGGAGCTGAAAAGCCTCAGCTYCCACCTTGCTCAGAGCCTGGGTTCAGCTGGGAGCTCTCCTGGTGATCTGGGCTGGCTTAAGGAATAAGAGAGAGCTGGTACTTCCTGCTAGAGAAAGCAGGGAGCAAAACCACTGTGCAAGACATGGACTGGGATAACTGCAGCACAGAGCTCTGCTGGAGGGTGCTGGGCAGCTGGCTAAGGGAGCAGGCTGGCTGGCAGGGGCAGTCTCTGAGGGCTGTGCATGCAGCACACAGCAGTGCAGGCAGAACTGTGCGAGTTGCTGCAGGCCACTTGTCAGCTCAACTCTGATGGGCCTTGCTTGGCAGTGGGACCTTTTATCCCAGGTGGAATGGAGCATCAATAAAATACTCTTTGTAACAAGGTGATGGAATTGCCTCCATGGAGCACTGATGTGGGCCTTAACTGCACACAAAAAGGTAAAGTGGGGCATAGCTACCAGAGGGACTGTCTACAACTCCAGCACAGTTGGGGTGTCATCCTTGGTTGAAGGGAGGGAGGGAGGGCTAGGTGCCAGCCTGGACTGCAGGTGGAATGTGCTTGGAGATCACAGTCCAAGAGTGTGACACAGTCAAAATTAAAATGCAGAGGTTTGCAGTACAAAGAAAAATGGAATGAAGGCACCTAAGTCTTCAAAAAAATCTGTGACTCTGTAGCACTTACTGAAGTTGATAGAAGAATGCATTAGTGGTAAATGAATGAATCCAGCAGCCCTTGCCACAAGTGGCATTTTCATAACTGGCCATTAATATAAAGCCTCAAAATGTGCCTCAAATTCAGGCACATTGCTAGGGCTACTGTTTGCCCAGGTATGCGAAAAGCTCCAGATTTTCCTGCTTCTGCGAAGAGGACCTGAAGCTGCTGCAGGCTGTTTGCCCTAGTCCTGTTGCCTTGTTCCAAAACATGCCCATAATTCTGCTCTGTGGCTGTCCAGGCTGGGACTGACCCCTAAAAAATGGGGAATAATGAACCTCCCCTGCTGGTTTGCGTGGCTCAGGAAGGTAACTATGTGTGGAGAACCCCTGGGCTGTGAACAGCGATGAGTGAGAGGGGTAAGGTGTGGTAGGCACGTGACAAACCCATTGCCTCCTTCCGTTATGTGAGTGCTCAGGGGTGTCTTGCCTCAGTGGAAATGGGATTGTTGTGTGTATGAGCATGTGCATGTGCATTTAACAACGACCAGAGGTGCCTGGTTTGTGCTCAGTGTTTGTGCTTATTGTTTCTTCTCTCTCTCTCTCCAGTCGAAGACCACCCCCTTCACCTACTCGGCCCACTGTAATCCGTCCGTTAGATTCATCCCTGTTAGACTAAAAGGAGTTTCTGGCATGTCATTCATTGTTAACCAAATCTGTGGAAACAAATTGCTTGGTAACTGTCACAATAACCAATGTATAGTCGCATGTATGGACATCTATAGGCAAGTAACCACTTTTACTGATATTCTCTGTCCATTCTGCATTGTTTATGAGGTCTTAAATGTTTGGGGAAGGTCTGTGCTGCCTTGACTTTTCCTTCTGCAATAACTGATGTTAGCTAACTTACTGACACATATCCACCCAGGCAACTGTGCTCACAGTCCTCTACAGCACATGGAGGRCTTGACTTTGTGTGTGTTTGTGCACGTGTTGATTTGATCTGCTGCTTTTTTTTYCCCACTCTTACCTGAAAGGAATCTTGCTTTTATTTGTACCTTCCAGGTTTTCTATTTTCTCTTGTAATGGCTAAATTGGGCAAGGAAAAGCCACGTGGTTTCTTAMCAAGCTCTTCTGAAGGCCCCATACTTCCAGGTCTCTCTTGCAAGAGGCTTGCTTCTCCTATAAATTGTCCTTACCCAAATTTTAGTTGTAAGGAATGTTGTTACACAAGCAGGGTGTGTGTGGGACAAAGCATGTTTTGCTTTATTTCCACCCTGGCAGCTGACATGCCAAGTTTSCCCCTGTGTAAAGATTTTCTCTTTRTATTCCATGGTCCTGYACACCTTGGATTACTGTTGCTTTATCCAGCTAGGTTCTGGGAAGTGCTCAGCTGTGCATCCTGGATTATTTTAGCAGCTGCTCCCTTGCAGAGGTCCTCTCTGCCTCTTGTTTTGCACRTTATAAATTAATGCATTATAAATGCCTTTTGTCTTAACTGCATTACTTCACTTTAAACACTTAGGGTCAGTGTCATCCTTAAAGCTTAGAACATACTGAGTTAACAGAATGCAACTGAGAAGAATTTGAGAAGAATTTGGCCTTGTTCCTTCAGAAAATRTGAATTGCTGCTATTACAATTATGGTCACAGATCCCTAGGCAAAGCAATTGGTGGTTTCAAAGGCCCCCAGCATAATCAGTCTAATAAATGTATTTATTGAGACTGCTTGTAGGGCTCCAGTATGCTGTAGCCCCATGGTTAGGAAGAATCCAATCAAAGAGCCACAACAAATGGGGATTTAACCTATTAAGTATTCCCAGGCTGCTGATTAGCTGTGCTCACCAGTGCAGCAAATCATGTTTCAGCTTGCAGAAGAGAGACTAGCTTGGGAAAGCATCATGATTTGTATGTTAGCTTAACTTTAATTTCCTGTCAACCTCATACTTGTGACACATGCCTGGGGAGTCYAGAGGTCACATCTGATGCACAGTGAAGATGGAATTTGTCAGAGCACTGGCATCTTGGTGATCTCAGAGGACTGCTTAAATGGCTGATGTTTGTTTGGGGAACAGGCCCACATCTCCAATGCCAAGTGCACAGAATCTGCTTTCAAGGCAAAAAAGYTGCAAACACAACTAGAGTCATACTGATTTTTACTACAAAAAGRAAAATGTATTTTGATGATTTTTCTTGTCTTCTTCACAGCTTTCCACTGCTTAGTGCTCTCTGCTGTAACCTGTGATGCATCTGTTGGATATATTTTTTTGTAAATAGCCATAGTAGCCCATGCTGTTGCCTTGCCAGCACACTTGTATATAATTTATCAGAACTCYGTTACAGACTGGCAGCTGCCTGCTCATGGAAATCACTTCAATCCCAAGTTCTAATATTGAATGGGTGGTAGAGGACCAGGTTGGATGAGGTTTTCAGTAACCTGGTCTAGTGGAAGGTGTCCCTGCTCRTGGCAGGGGGCTTGGAACAAGATGAGCTCCAAGGTCCCTTCCAACCCAATCCATTCTATGATATTGCAAGGCCATGGTCTGGGTTTATCCCACCATACCCCAGGGACTCAGCTTAGTTGTCCTTTGTTCAGTGGGAAGAGCGTCACCTCTAGGAGGTGATTCAGAGCAGCATGGCTGCACAGGACACGAGGGTGATGTTGCTAAGTTAGGAGCCTCAATTACGTGACAACGAGACTAGAGACTCCCTCATTTACTTCAATGACTGTTTCTGCCAAGCATAAGGAAGTAGATGGCACAATTCAGCACTGTCTGTAACTCTGCCCCCGAGAAACTATTTCTCAGAAGTAATCCTGAATTGTAAATAAAGCTCTGGAGGGTGGATTTACCCAAAAGAGGAGGAGGCAGCGAAGCGTCAGCACCATCTGGTTCTGTGCTTGATGCTGAGGGTGCAGAACACAGCTGCACAGCCTCCTTCCTCATTCAGATCTCATCTCAACCTGGCCCCTTGCCCTAARTGCAGCACTTTTAGGTGTGCAGGTTAATAAATAACCATGAGCACAAATCCAGGGTTTGATGATTTCGCCTCTTCTTGCGTATACGCTTGTCAGAGTAAACCACATAGAATTGTTTCTAGGAAAAACACTTAAGTGCTTCACAAGAAATTGCCACATCCAATTGAGTAAGTACTGTCCTTCAACCTCGGCCCACTTCCTTCTGCTGTTAAGTGCCMGGAATGGGTTTGTTGTCCCACTCGCTCCTGATGCTGACAAGTTCCRTCAATCCTGTCCCCTGTTCTCAGAGTTGCAGCCTTGGCAGCAAAACTCACTCCATACCTGAAGGGCAGCAGGAYAAGCACCCTGTGGATCTGCTAGAGGGACCATTCTGCAGACCCACTTACAGGGGATGAGCCAAGCCTGAACTTTGTATCTGAGAAGGGCAGCTTGCTCTGCCTTTCTCTGATTCCCTCTGGCAAAGCTCAAATTGCTAGGGTGTAGTGGAGCAATAATGAAGCAACCCAGGAGTTTCTCATCTTACCTGAGGTACCTGAAGATCTGGGTAATTGCTGAGTTTCAGGAGGGTGCTCATCTAGTATTGCATTTAGGCTGAGCCAGGGTCTCTGCCTGGAGAACACGTTCCACCTCACCTCGCCATGGCTGACCAACAGCTGAAGAGCTTGTGCGTGCTGTGGATAGCTCTTGGTCTTGGATCTCAAGGGRTTTTGTGCTAGGGTTAAAAAGATTGTATGTTCAACAAAAAGGCTTATGTACATAGTTAATGTGTGTTTATTTTATTGCTGATCTTGTTGCACTTTCAGAGTAAGCCTCCTAAAAGTAGATTATTTATTATATTAAAGAAGACACATTATAGGTTATGGTATTTAGTGTTAAAGTATAGAAAATATCCTCTCCGTTACAGACAGCTACACTAACCATGATGTGTACGGCATATTGAGATTCCTGACTAGCTCTGTCATCCTGTCTTAAAATAGTCTGAACCTCCTGGATTGAGAGCAGACCTACTTTGTCCCTGTGCCACTGGGGAATATCTTGGTGCACTTCTGGCACAGCTCCTCCCRCTGTGGCACTCACTGCCCCTGCTCCCAGGCTTTTGCAGAACAGCTCCCCTGTGTAAATGAATGTTACTCTGCCTGTCTTTCCTCTTGCTTTGTCTGCAGGCGAGCTGATGCTGATGGCTCCTCCCGTCCAGACAGTCCTCCACTCTTGCTTGATCTATGATTTGTCCCGTCTTGCCGGCCGTTTGTTTTACTGCTGTCTCTTTACTTTTCCAGGACGGGGTAAACGAGGACTTCTTTTTTGTAAGAAGCAAACGCTTAATTTCTTTCTGGGTTTTTTTTTTTTTTTGCTCTGTATGTTAATGCCCTACTTCATGTGAGCCAAAACATCTGCCTTTGGTTTCGTAATCTGTAAATGGTTCCTGGTGTTGACCTTTGAGCACAGCGAGTCGATTCCCGAAACCGTGGTCATTACTGAGCATCACATACACCTGCTGTAAAAATGTTATGCTGCATTTCTGAACCTGAAATAAACTGTAATTCTTGATGGGCTTTTATTATTACTTTCTGAATGTGTATGAGTGATCTTCTGTCTCTCACACCCTCATCTCAGCTTTCCACACTCTATCTCAGTGGGGACTGCAGGGGGGATTTATCGGAGGTGCTGTTGCATTGAGATCACCGGAGATGTCATTRAAGGGGAGACTGAAGCCAGTGGGAAGCATTCAGCCGGTTCCCTGCAAGGGGTTTGGAGTGCCACAGAGAAATTTTGCTGGGAAATGGATGAATGCTTTGCAAGCAGAACCTGGGATTCACTTTATTGCCAAGGAAAGCACGTTTTGGGGAGTTTCAGAGCTGAGCAGAAGGCCAGAGTGAGTCCTCCAGAGCAGGAGCTGGAGTTAAAGTGCCTGAAAGGGATTTCCCCCAAAGTGGTTGTGTACAAATGAGCAGATGTCTTGATTACTCAGTTCCTCCTTCAGATCAGGATGAGCCAAGTAGCTGCAATCAGTGCTTGGAGATGGTTTGTATGGCACAAAGAGCACAGCAGCTTCCTGTGGGAAGCATCACAGTTGCTGTGGGTTCTCAGGTTTTGGGAAAGGAGGGAGCAAAAGGTGGGATGAGCAGCAGGAACATCTCCATTGTATCCTGTAACATTTGGAGATTTGTTTAATAGTCATTAATGGCCATGGCTGAGGCAGTTTGCACTTCCCCTCAGAGAACAGCAGTGCCCCACGTGTCCCCTACTGGGTGGAACACACCACRTAGCCCTGGATGCTTCTGGCTCCGAGCACGTTGGTCAGGTACAGCTGAGTGCTCTGTGCTGGGTACCAGGAGGAGCAGCTGCTCTTCCGCACTGGGCTCACACTCCCACGGGGCACTCCAGCTTCATTTTTAACCTTTCCCAGCAATGTCACCTCCAGACACCCCAGTCCACCCCACAGGCTATCRTGTTGGATCAGTCCTCATTTCTTCAGCATCTCTAAAGATCTACTCCAAGAAGAGTGTTTGAAGCAGACAGTGGTGAGAATGTTAAGGCTGCCTGAGGAAAAACTCTTTCAGAGGGTATAATTTGCTGGAAGAAAATTAGAAAGCCTGTGACCAGCGACCTCCACACCTGGGCTGGGATTGTTCTGGTTCTCTGGTGCTGGCAATCACAGGGGAGGCGGTGAGGATGAAAGCCAGGCTGTGCTGAGAGCCAGCTGATTCTAATCCTGCTCTTGCTCTTTTCCTTAATATGCATGTTCTGTGCCTTTTTCTCTTAACCCATTTTATTAAGGTAATTTTGTATATGAGTCATTTTATTGTATGTTGGCCTTTTATTTTAAATCTCCCCCTCTCCCTGTGATTTTTGGTCATTTTGTGTTTTTTTCCCAGGCGACCTTCACCAGCTGTTCCAGGAAGATCATCTTAACACACTCCTTTCTTTTGTGTTACATGCAATGTCTTTCTTTTTTTTTTTTTTTAAATCCAGAATTACCTTTAATTTGCACTAGCCTATTTGTAAATGACAGATTTTATTTTCAGATGTCAATGATAATCCTGGATGTAAAGACAATAAAGTTCTGACTACAAAAGGAGTGTGCTGTGCTTTTCTATTGAAGGATCTACCCACTCGTTCTCAAATGGAGACTTTTTACCCTGTGGAAGAATTTACCTGGGGTGTCTGAAGGCTCCCACAAAGTTGTGGAGGGAGGGATGGACATTCTGCTGGGATTCCAGCACTGCTTCTGAATTTATTAACCAGCAGGACTGCTCCATATAAATATCTTTGGTTTAGCATTAGCAGGAAGARCAGCCAGCAGAGTTCCAAAACATGCTTAGTGGACCAGCAGCAGCACCTGGCTGAGCGGAAACTCGAAGAAGATTGCAGCAGTTCTCTAGACAGTCTCTAGACTGATTCATCTGCACAATTATAAATAAATTGCAGCTGCTCTGACCATTTTCTTCAAGCGAAACCTCTGAATTCCTTGTGAGCCAACCTCACTGGAGTGCCTGAGCTCACACAGCTGTAAGTAACTACCTCTGGGATTCCAAATGTGTCCGTCCCTCTGGGAAAGATAAAATCTGGGATTTAACATTTACATGATGCGCGTGTTTTGGGTGCCATAGAAGTACATGAAGAGTCAGTCTAASAAAAGAGAAAATTGATGGGTTTAACTGACTATTTTTCCCCATAGGAATGCCGAGGGTATCTCACAAGCCATGCAGGGAAWGCAGGAGGCACCAGTCAGCACTGACTCCAGTCTGTTGTTTCAGGGGTACAAACACGATGTTTGTGGGGAGTAGGAAGGGAGAGGGAGCTGCAGGGATGCTGCTCGGGGTGGGCACACGGGAGGGGAGATTACTCTGTGTGTGAAGAAGGGGCCTGATAACACCCAGGCTGTGCTCGTTTTCAAGCAGGGTTTCATGCAGCTTTGCTGAATTTGGGCAATTCCTCTTGTTGCAGCTGATTTAGGTTCTGATGACCTCTCAAATATTCAGGGAGCTGCTGAACCACCTGCATGAGCTGGTAAATGCCAGGCACTGAATTTCCTCCAATTATAAGGGTATACAAGCCCAAGGAGTTGTACACTTACAGAGATTTTTCTTTTGTCTCACTTAGACTTTTTGTTTTGGTAGACTAGAAGAGMGGAAATAGCAATGGAGTAGCGAAAAGTGAGGAAAACCCCCAAATCCTGTTATACCTTGGAACTGCATGTGCTAAACTAGGAATTGCTGGAACTGAGCAGCGTGCTTCCCAGCACCCTGAGATAGGGCAAAATGGAGACTCTACAGTGTCCCAGGAACACAACTATCCCAAGAAGCTGGCTGTATCTTCCATCTGTGGAACTCGCTGCCATCAGATGCTGAGGCTAAAACACCTCAGCAGAGTTTAGGAATTGTGCACTTTCAGGACTATACAGAAGAAAGAGTGTTTGTACCTGGTGAGCTCYTGAGGAGGTTCTGCTCGTGCTTCAGGTAAGAGGGAAGGGGGACAGGCTGAACTTTACAAGCTGCTTTTCTTCGAGGTTGTTCAAAAATCTGTKCTGTGCCAGAAGATGTCTCTGCAATCCCTATGAGGTACAGCACGGTACCAAGACCAGATAAAAGGTAGATGATATTTTAGCTCAGTGGCCTGGCCCACAGTACCCAGAAGCTGTTGARCTCCCAGCTGGCCTCCATGCATTAGGCTGGAAAGCATAAGCTGGTTTCTTGGGGTATGTCTTTTAAACAAATCTTTACCTTCTGAGGAAATACTCAGTAAAAAATATTGTTGAAAATAGGACTTCAAATTTCACGGTTTTATGGTAGCCATTTCTAAAATCTTTTGAGTAGAAAAGCACAGGAATTGGTGTGCTGGGAAACCCTGGCATGGTTCTTTTGCACCAGCTCACAGGGTGACTTTTTGAAGAAGCTGTTTAACCTCATCAGAAYTGTTTCCAGCCTGCCCTGGTGTTCTCTCTGTGGCCAGGAGAAGGACAAGGGTGCTGCTCCAGTGACATTATGTGTCCAAGGCCACTCTTCAGTGGGTGGGTTAGGACCAAACTCCTGTTTGGCTTCCTGATCAAAGACTCAAGTTTTGCTCTTTGCAGGCTTCCCAGATCCAGTCTCCCCCATRGGAAGGGACATGACCCCCTGACAGCACGGTGTGGGTGGCTGACACCAGGCCTTCCCTGCGCAGAGACTGGAGATGGAGATTCCAGACCACACGTGTCAGTGGCTCCCCCAGGAGCAAGGCTTATCCCCAGCCACTTTACAACTGCTCACATTTGGCCAGATTCAAATCAAAAGAAAGTGTCCCATTGAGGGGCTGATCTCAGTGGACTTGAACCYTCAGGGAAAGTAAGGACCCATTTCTTTGGTTTCAGTGTGGGTTTACTCAGGTAGCAAATGCCCAAAAGGCATCCAGCTTTACTGGACAGGTGTAAAGTTATGGCAAAATTCTGTTCTGCTGAGGATGTTGTGACCTCAGGCATGCAGACATACTAATAATGGCCATTTATACAGCAGCTTAAATACCCACAGCATTGCAGAGCATGTGTCCTCAGGAGAAGGTCAGGGAAGTCCTGGGGAAACCCTGGCTGCCCTTTGTATCTCCTCCTCTCCTCTCCCTGCCTCTCTCTTGCATTTTTCCCTCCTTCAAGGTCCCTTTGTGCATCCAAGCTGTGGACTCTTATTTTCATCTCCGGGGTCAGGGTGGGCAGGGTATCTTTGTGGGGAGGAGTGGGCAGGGCTAAGCCTTTCCCCAGGCAATCTCTGGGCAAGGACTGAGGCTGTTCCAATCTAATCCAGGAATTCTATGACTGAGATCTAAGGAGGWGATGAAGGGAAGGAGCAGAGAGGTCTGGGGCTGTGGGCAGCAGGCTGAGCTGGACAGGACACAGCCTGCATCCACATTTATACAGGTGATCCACCAGGTCCCTGTTCTTGCTGAGGTGACCGTAGCAGCCTGTGCCTGTCTCCACCTGGAATGTTTGGTCAATGTTTGTRCTTTTCCTAATTCAGAGCTGGTTTTGACAGTGTGAATTTGGGAAAAGTATTTATTAGGAAAATATTTCTCCTTGGAGGGATGGGTGCAGCAGAAACTCTGCTTTCTTGTAGCCTGTGCTGCGACAGACAGGGGCCAGGCAGACGACATGTCATTAATTTTTGATTTACGTTTTAGCTTTGTCCCTGTACTGATGGGCTCTGTGAATTTGTTTAGAATGGCAGTGTTACAATGGCATTAGCCCAGTGTCAGATGGGACATCCTGGTCACTGAGCAGCTTTCTGGAAACCTTCCTGTGAGAAAAGAGTCTCCTTTCTGAAGAACAAAAAAATGTCATCTTACTCTAAGCATCTGGCTAGTCTGTGCTCCCTGCGAGACCTGAKCAGGGACTCCAAACTTCTGCAGGTTTTCATTAAAAGCAAAATGAGATGTAGTTGTTACCATGACGACAACAGCAACATTTAACACTTGGCAAGAGCAATAACAAAGAACTGGAGGTGTTGGGGACTCCGCTGGGGGTTGCTCATTTCCGAGAAAGCCCAAGGAGCGCGTGAAAAGCGCCTGCTCGCTGGCATGGGAAAAAGTCGAACAGAAAGCTGCACTCCGGCATCTTTTCCAAAACAGAAAAGTGTCATAAACACCCGGGTGATGCCAAATGCAACCCTGTGAGATGGGCTGGGGCAAGTGTGGGCATCCCGTCCCTCTCGTGGTGCCGGCTACGGGGGCTTTGCTCCCCGGGCTGGCCGGAGCAGGGCTGGGGCTGCCGAGGAATGGGAACAGGAAAGCGCCAGGGAGGCCTTCCCGGCACCGGGGCGGGCTGTCCTGGCCAGGCATCCAGCGGGACTTGTTTGCCGGGAGCGCCCTCTGTTGTGGTGGGAGCGGCGCCGGACAGACGGTGTCGGATGGGACCTCCAGGGGCCCTGCCACTGTCCCAGCAGTCTGGCCTCTCCCCAGCAGGTGAGTGTGCACCCATGGGGGCCGTGCTGAGCTCCAATCCCTATGGCTCGGGGTCTAGCCCTGCACCAAAGCCAGATCTGCGTCTGGAAAGGGGTTAGAAAAAGGGCAAAGGCCTGATGCTCTTTTACCCCCAGTCTCCTAAAGGATTTAGGGTGATGTGTCTGGCAGTGCTGTGAGGTTATTCCGGCTCCCACAAGGGCCGGGTGCAGGTGAGCAGGGCTCTGCCCCACCCCATGTACCCTCGTGCTCGGTCCTGCGGGTCCCTCAGCTCCCACCCCACTGCCCACAGTGACCCTCACCAACCCCTGCCCCTCCAGCCCTCCCCAGGAAGTGCTGGCAGCCTCCACACACACTGAGGGTTCTGGGGCTGAGGACTCCAACCGCATTGCCATGGGGCACATCTGAGCCAGATTCCAAGTGTCCAAGTGGCTCAGGGGATGTGCATCCCCTGTACCGCACCGTGCAAACCGAGGTGTGGATCTGCAGAGCCAGAGCAGACATCTCCCTGCCTCCCTGCACTGCAGGGCTCAGCTCCTTTCTTCAAAAACAAGCAAGTCAGGTCTGGAAACAGACACTGAGGRGAACACAAAAGTGGTCCTTGTTGCTGTGTGAGAGACTTTATTGGGTCAGATGTCCACCCCCACAGCACTGTCCCCCAGGCAGGACCTTTGCACCGCTCACAGCAGAGGGTCCCCCCAGGCCAGGCCTACATGAGGAACCTGGARAGGTCCTCCTTGATTTCAGCCTCATCCCACGGCCCATGGATGTTGTCCTTGAGCAGCTGGAGGCGGATGAGGCAGTAGGGGCAGAGGCAGGAGATGGTGAGCAGCAGGGAGGCRAAGAGCACGGCTCCCACGCTGGACACCGTGGCCAACCCTGCCAGCGCTGCCAGCGCAAAGAGCACTGTCACCCCCACATAGCACCGGGGTGTCTGGGCCTTCAGCTTCTTCTGCAGCATGGGCCACAGGGCAAAGATCTGCATGGCGAAGGTGACCATGACGAAGGCATGGAGCGAGCGAGGCAGGCGTGAGGCCAGGCACACCGAGGCAAAGATGGCCATGTTGAGGGACAGCGTGCTRGACACGATAGCAGCGTTGGCGCCGTAGTCGAAGAAGATGAGGTGACCCAGAAGCATGAGGGCCGACATGGCGTAGATGGTGTCYGTGCTGATGGACTCGGTCAGCGTCTTCAGCACCGGCGAGAAGCCGTAGGTGAAAGCGGCGAACACCAGCGTGCTCTTGAGGTCAGCCCAGCGCGTCCGCCCGCTCGCCCAGCGCYCGGCCCCGCCGTCCACGGCGTCGAACAGGACGTAGCCGAGCAGGGAGGACACCAGGGCCGCCCCGAAAAGCCCCTGCGGGCTCAGCATCCCGGCGTCCATGTACCACCAGGTGAGCACGAAGACGCAGACGCTGCACAGCTGCTGYACCACCACTCCCGACTGGAAGACGACGGCCTGGTACCGGTACTGCCGGGCGTGCACGTTCTTCCGCAGTTCCTCCAGGAACCGCTGGTCCACGTAGTTATCGGGGAAGGGCTGTCGCTCGTACAGCACCTTCTGCCAYCGCCGCCCGGGGAGCGGCTCCATCGCCCCGGGACGGGCGGGGGAGCTCCGCGGCCCCGGCCCGGCCGCTCCTCCGCCGGTGCCGGTGGTGGCGCAAGGGACGCCGGGGCGCTCGCGGCCGCCACCTCCCGGCCGGAGCCGCGGGACACGGGAGCCCCGGGCRGGCGGCGGGGCGGGGCCGGGTGCCAGTGCGGGCTCTGCCGCGCCTGAGAGGGGTCACTGCGGTCCCGGACTGCGTTCCCCGCTCCGTGSGAGCTGCAGCAGCTTCTGGGGGTGCGTTCAGGGGACAGCCCGGCTCCATGCTGGGATCTGCTCATCCCGAGAGCCGCAAGTCCTTGTCCCACAGGCAGGMTGCTGCCAGGAGATGCTGGGGACTGCCTCGCTTCTGCCTGGACCCCAAACCGGCAGGCCCGCCGGGAAGGAGGGATGCTCCTGCCATAGTCCCACACCGTGGCGAAGGGCTGTCCCCCTCCAGCCCAAACACAAGTCGGTCAAGACAAGAAGGGCACAGTCGGTCGGTGGGATTCAGCCGGATCCTCTCTGTGCTTGGCTATCCCTGTGCGTGCCCAGCCTTGCTGCTGGGAGCATGATCCCAGCCCATGCTGCAAGCCCCACTCCCTGTCCCGGTCCAGAAACGCACCTGCTTTTCTGGCCAAACCAGGCTCCAGCAGCCAGATCAGGAATGTGGGTGTGATGCTACGAGTACAGGGCGCCCTTCCCCTGCAGCTCCTGCCTGCTCACAGCTCAGTCCTGCCCTGCTCGAGAGTGGAGCAGGAGAAGGAAAAGGAGTTGTGGCTGAGCAGGGCTGGAGAGGTGCAGCTCTGCAGGGACATCCCTCTCCTGTGCTGCTCATCTCCATTCCAAAGAGACTCAACGTGTGCAGCAAGGGGACAGGGGCATATTAAGGGATGAGGGGATGTTTTACAGAGGCCAGAGGTGTCTGTGTTTGCTTGTGCTCAGGTCAGAGCCTTCCCAGCCCCGAAGAGGTGYTTGCTGCCGAGGAGCTGCTTACTTTGGCCTCACCGGAGAGGCCTCGGCCTGGGGGAAAGCAGCCCTGAACAGTGCCCTGTTTGTGCTGCAGGAAGGGGCATTCATGGCCCTCCTGTCACAGTGGCAGCAGGCAAAAGAGCGATCGGATCCACCCCCGTGCCTGCCACAGGACACTCTCCAAACGGGACCCCACCTCATCCAGTTACGTGCAGAGCAGCAGGTAACACTGCTGGTGTGCCTTTGGTGGGGGGGTGGCGCCCTCGGGCTGAGCCACACCACTGTGACATCTAAAAAGTGTCACCTCCCAGCTCTATATCACTGCACTTCCTCAGCAGGGCAGGAACAGCTGCTCACCCTGTGCAGGTACCCTGTGCCGAGGGCGATGCCAGCTGGGTCTAAGCCAGGGTGGGGCTGGACTCAGTTTTAGCTGCCCTCCCTAGAAGACCCCAGCCCCTCACTTTACACGTGCCTCCATGTGCACAGGCCAGTACACACATGGACAGGGAGTGCTGCCAGCTCCTCTGATTGCTGGCATTGCCTTGGTGCCCAGGGCCTGGGAACTTGAGATTTTGAACGAAATGTCCTTCTCCCAAAGTCATGGAGTAAAGCTGGGGCATGCAAGAGGGAAGCTGGGAGGGCAGTGTGCAACTCCTGTTGCTCTGAGAAGTGGCATGACCACCACAGAGGAGGAATTCCACCTYCCATGGGCATGGGCAATGCTGTGCTCTTATTGTGAGTGGTAACAGCAAGTTTGGTTTGACCTGGCCCTGGGCTCTAGTGCACATCTGTGATACTCTGGGGACCAGGAAGMGCAGTCTGGGCTCGGGCTGGGGCGTGAGACCATTTCCACATAGTCACATCCATGTAGAAACCCCAGTGGAGTAGAGAGAATAGAGGTGAGGGGTACTTCTTGTGTGCCTCTTGAAATATCTTCTGCTGTGGGCCACCCAAGTCCCCTGTGGAGGCAGGGAGAGGTGGGAGGCTGTGGTTTGTCAGTGACTCACAGCACTCCTGAGCTGTGCTGGGTGATGCCAGCCACGGTGACAGCAAAGCAAAACCCTCTGGGAGATGCCAGCACAGCAGCTGGAGCCCCCCACGGCGTGCCCACCCAGACAAGGGGATCACCCTGGCACAGGCTCCACACCCTGGGCAGTTCTGAGACCCCCAGGGCCTGGCACCCACCTGGTGCTTGGGAGACCCCGGCAGCTGTGCTGGCACTGTGTCCCCAGGAGGGGACAGCATGTGCTGTGCCACGTGTGATCACACCGCCCACAGTGCAAAGGGCAGYTCAGCCCTGCCCAGGTGGCCCAGACTTTGCCGCAGGGCAGTGACACTCCTGCCTGCACAACTGTCCCGGCAGGACCCACCACGGGATGCRCCACGTCACTGTCACCGGCCAGCCCTGCTGCTCAGAGGGGACCACGTGCCGTGGAGTCATCCCTCAGCCCTGCTGGGAGCTCTCCTGGCAGGGATAAGCAATAGCTAAGGTCAAGAATGCAAAAGTCCTTTGTGAGCATCTAAATTCCCACTCTGGGTTCCATGCCACAAGACCTCCTTCACCTCACAGTTTGCTGTTCCCATGTGCCACTGGCCTCTGGAGGGGCTGTAAGATGGAGTGTGCTTTGAACATCTGCTGAAATGCAGGAATGAGGAGYTGACTGCCATGGCACTACAAACCCTGGCTATGGCTCTCTCCTGCCCTTTGTAAAGGGACTCCACCGAGCATTTGTTTAGTATTTGCTGGCTCTGAATGTTTGAATACACTGCTAAAGCTGTTTGGAAGCAAGGCTGGAAAAGGTGACAGGCTGGGACTGAAATAGCTGGGATTGATCTAGACCTCCACTGGAGATATTTGAATATCAAAGTGTTGCAGGCACTGCACTCCCACCACTGGCTGAGGGCTGCCTCCAGGTGAGTCTGATTCCCCTTGGGATGGGGCCRTCTCTTGTGCTGCAGAAATAGGCTTCAAAATGATGAAAAAACACACTCTGCTAAGGATCTGAGCTTGCCTGAGGCTGCCTGGATAAGGACGGATCTTGCACCTCTACCTGTCCCTCATCTGGGGCTCTTCCCTTGCATCCCTCCCTTGTCACCCTCCAGGAATGACACAGCACAGCTATGAMCTCTTGGGCCTCATTTCTCTGCTAAGCCATCTCCCAGCCTTCCCCTTTGACCCTGGAGCCAAACCCTCCCTCCGCAGGAATGTTTTTCAGGGAGGGGGGAGGTTGGCTCAATGCCAGCTGCTGCATTTTTCCATGTCCAGAGATCGTCTCCTGCCTTAAAAGGCCCCATGACACAGGCTGTGCCTGCTCTCCTGCAATCACCTACTTAAGGATTGTTGGATTCAGTCCCCAGCACGAACTGGGACAACACCAGCCCAGTGCCTTGCAGCTGGGCTGAATCCCATGGGGGGATACTGGGCAGACAGTGGGGCCCTACAGTGCCTGGATACGGAAGGGTCTGGTGCTGCTCCAGCTCTCCCAGGCATCTCTTTTCCCTGTGTGCAGGTCACATTTCCTGAGCTAAGGAGGTACCAAAGCTGCTGCAGAAATCCTCCTCAGAGCTGGGCAGAGCAGTCCAGGAAATTGGGATTGGGTCTGAAAAGCCCACACTGGACTGGTATCTGCCAGGGTGAGGTTTGGAATTTGCTGAATCTGTTGCAGGGGGAGAAAGATGGGAAGGCTGCTGTGGAACTGGTTGAGCTAGCCTCAAGTCAGGAGRGGTGTGATGTGGAAAGGCACATGCTTGCAGGGATGTGACCTCTGGAACACACAGTATGTGGGGTGGCTGTGAAACTGAGCTCCCTCGCTCCTGGCATTCCCTGACGGTCAGCATGGATCGCTGAAGCCCTTTGGCAAAACACCCTCCTCACCACCCACACTGGGCTCTGGAGAAAAGGGCAAGCCTGACCAGCTCCAGAGCAGTGGGTCAGCAGTGTCTGTTTTGTAGGGTAACTCCATGAGGGTCAAGCAGTCACACAGTAAAGATGTTTTTGTTTTTCAATGTGCTTAAAAAAAAGAACAACCTAGGAAATCACAGCCAAAAATTATGTCTGAGATGCACTCTCCCAGTTGCAGGGTGCTCCAGGGTGGGATATATCCAAACGTGAGCTGCTCAGGTAAGCTTAGCTCAGCCTTCAGCTGTATGTGGCACATCCCTAACACAGAGATGCAGGGAGGAACAGACCTTGGGGGGTAAAATAATGAAACCTGCCTGTGGGACCTGAGCGTGGGTTATCTTGGAAGCTGGAAGGTGAAAACAGATTCAGGAGCAAGGAGGGTTTTACGGTCCACATGGGTGTCTCTGAGACCTGGCAGAGCAGGGCTGGRCATCCAAAACAAAGCTCTACCAAGTGATTTCTCACTCTGTTCCCCTTTTTTAGCCCTAAATTTGAAGCATAGGGATGGGATGTGAAGTGCTGACCAGCTCTTCCACAGTTGGTGAAAAGACATCGAGAACTGCAGGTGGCAGAACACAGAAAAACCCAACAGCCAGAGAGTGAAAGCAACGTCCCCCTGGGGGAAGCTGATAACCAGGGGGGTGGATGCTGGAGCCACAGGCCAACTCCCCAGTGCCAGCTCTCCCCTGCCCCAAGCCTCCTGCAGCAGCCACTTCCCTCCCTTTGCAGCTCTGGGGACACAGAGTGGTAAGTGTGAAGGGACCCGGAGTTTCCTTATAAAGTTTTTACTCTCTGCCCAGGGGATATTTTTGTTCTATAAATGGGGAGGGGGGTATTGGATGAAACCATGTATGCAAATACTGTTGGCTTTTATAGGAAGTGCAACTGAGGAAAAATTTCATATGCACAAGTCAAAAAGAGCTTGCAACTCACTGTTTTGGCCTGGTGAACTTCGAAAGGCTTCTCCTCTGTGCTCACCTTCCCATTTGCCTAGTAAAGAAGCAAAGAAGCCTTTGTTCAAACACATTATGGCCTCAGCCTGGAAACACATAGATTTCCCAGGAGGTATTCACGGCAGGAGCCCTCCCTGCCCTCTTCCCCTACCTGGAGCCTCCAGGCAGGAACCCACGTGCTGGGTAAGAGCAGTGTGATGTTGGGGCTGTTTTACACATGCAGTGCTTCTCCCTGCAACAAGAGCTCATCCTACCCCAAAACAGAGAGGAGGGTGCCTGGTGGGACGTGCCTGTTCCCTTGTAAGCATTTAGGTCCCTGAGGAGTGACACTCCTGTYACCAGTCACCCTCTACCCCTCTCCCTATTTTTAAGTATCTGGCATGGAGGGGATGAAGCCAGGTGGGAATTTCATTTATTTTAGTATTTGGCAAAAAGAAGAAGGGAAGCAGCGTAACCTGTGCTATTCCCTGTGTGTGCCTGGTCAGCCCTTTGGGTTGGTTATCCCCACCACCTGGATCTAGCAGAGGTGCTGATGCTCCTGTGAAGGCTGTGCCACTCTCCTGGCATGTTCCTGGCACTGCTGCCCAGGCTCTGGGCAAAAAACAGGGTTTGGGTTTGTGTTGAGAAAGCACCAACCAGACCAGGCGCCTGTGACATCCCCCACTGTGGCCTTGATTTGGACTGGGCCATGGAGGAAACCAGCCCTGAGCTGCAGCAGCTGCTTTCCGAGCCCTTGCTCTCACCCAGGGTGAAGGAGTGAAGAGGGAAGGGGAAGCTTCAGCCCATGCTGTCCTTTCAGAAATGAAGGCTAAAAAAAGTTTTACCCTTACATYACCAAGTTTTGCTATTTCTCAATTTCTGCAGTAAAATTTGTTTTTTCTTTTCCCAGAGGGGCTCAGACAGAGCTGTCGGGAAGCACCAGGAGGACCAAGGCACGCACCATGGTTCACACCACATTTCCATCATGCAAGCAAGAATTAATTTTGATTCTCTGTGTCTCAGCTGTCAGCAGCCTTTGGACTTTACCCATTTCAACACCCCCATCAGATGGCAAGAAAAGCTCTTCTGTGGCTGACCACATTTGTCTTCTCCAGCATAAGGTGGCTCTGCACTGGCGTCCCAGCACTGAGCCAAGGTGCTGCTGAAGGTTGTGCCTGGAACACCTGGCAGCCAGGCTAGGATAAGGTGGGTCCCTTCTCCAGGAAGCTGTTTTCCATCYGTTCCCAAGCACTGACTGTAGGAAAGAGTGTGTGCTGTCACGCAGAGGGTTTGTGGTTCTGAAACAAGGCCAGCAGATGCTGCAGCTGCCCGCTGTACCCTGTCTGGGCATCCCTGCAGGAGCAATCATTTAATCTCATCTTTCTAGGTAAAGGTAAAATTTAAGTGAAACCACATGAAATGAGAAACTGAAATCCAAATGTTTTCCAAAGTGCCACTGCCATCTCAATTAGTTTTCTTCCTCTTACTTAAAGTTTTGCCTTCTAGGTTTTGAGCCACTAAAATGGGAGCTCAGAGCCAGCAGTGCCCCCCAAGGGGCTGTCACAGGTGGTCCTGGCTCCATCCGTGCTTTTGGGAGCCATGGCAGATTTCAGGGCTCTTCCAGGCAGGATTGGGGCTGCTGGCTGGAGATCTGAGCAGTGGCTCTCTGCACACCAGGTCATGCAGTCCCAGCCGGTGTCACCGTGTCCCTGCCTGCCAAAAGCTGCCCGGCGCCAGCCCACGTTAATTAACCCTAATGAGGCTCTATGGACAGAACGCTCTGGTGACTGCACCTGTGGGAATCTGCCGTTGGATCAGCTGGGAATTTGCCGTTGGATCAGCCGGTCACTGTGACCGCGCTCATCTCAGGGCATCTCCCGGATTTCAGGGAGTGTGGGAGTGGGAATCAGCGCCCATGCAGGAGGATGACCACATTTGGGACAGCCCATGTGTCACAGACAGTTTGCTGAGTAATGAAAGAGCAATTACCAGCTCAGCTGGAGGCAGAGTCGCTCCTGTTTGGTTTTCCAAGGAAAATTATTCCAACCTCTATTTTGTGCACAGCTTTCCTTTTGCTGTGAATTGCAGAAGAAATAAAAGAAATTGAGGACTTTTTTACAAGTTTTATGCTGGTTTGCTRAATTCCCTCCTGCAAGTGGTTAACAGTTCATCTGAAGTCAGAGGAAGGTCTCTGAAGCAATCTTGCAATTTACAGCTTTTCCTTTACCGAGTAAGAAACAGTCAGGAAATTAAACAGGAAATTGTGTCTGGAAGGAACAAAAGTTGCGTTGTCAGAACCTGCTTATGAAAGATTTACTTTATTTTAACCAGTAAGGAGCCAAGATCAATAGTCAAAAGAGGAAGGAGTTTGTGTGAATTAAATCACACGTGAAAAAAAAAAAAAAAAAAGCAACACTTGGGAAAACAAGAAGCCTTTGTAAAGAGCAGATAGGGATGAATAGGAGAGAAGGCTTTGCTACTGCAGCAAACAAATGCTGGAAAGTGCTGAAAGGCGAAGGCCCAGGGTGTACCCCAGGATCAGGTGTCCCTCCAGAAGCCAGTGCCAAAATGCCCAGATCTCTGGGAGATATTCTACAGCTAGGCCTGTTGGAGTGTTGGAGTGTGATGGACAAGCATTGCCCCATCGCTGTGCAGGGGCTCCCCCTTCTCTTTCCTCCTGCTCAGGTGCCCCTTGGGCCGTCTCCAGCTTTGCCTACCCAGGGTGCCAAGCACCASAACCCAGGTTTTATTCCTGGTCAGCAGGGTGTTCTGCCCAGGGGACACAGGGGGCAYGAGCAGTGGCTCAAATTCAGCCCCACAAGGGATAATCCTTCATGGAAACTGCACCAGCTCGCCTTGTCCTGGGGTATTCCATAACAATTCTTCTCCAGTCCTTGAGAGGCTGCAGGAATTCCTGTCCCAGGAGCACAACCGAGGCTGACAGCAGAGACAGTCCCAACCATGCCCCGTGKCAGTGCTGAGGCCAAGAGCTCTGGCTGGCAGTATCAGCAATGGGTTAATGAGTGTTTACCAGCTCTTCCAGCAGCCAGATAAGCACTTGTTTGAATTTCCAGTGCTTCACGGATGGATGCTCTGGTCCTGGCCATGCCCAACAGGTACTTTGTGGCCAAGGCTGAGTTGGTGGGATGGGGAAATGTCCCGAGGCACCCCCAGCCCCAGGTGGGGGGAGAGGCATTCCCTGATCTGATTCAAAAAGCAGCGGGTGAGATGTGCAGCACTTCTCCCACACCTTTGGGAATTTCCCACCGCTGAGGCTGATCCTGATCCGGTGGCTGGCACAGAGGCGTATCCCTGGTCACATGGACCCCTGGGAGAGCCTCAGCGGGCGCTGGCTCTGGGGAGCAGAGCACAGCCGCTGCCAGAGCCCTTCTCACAGACACTTCCATCTCCCCAGAACCTGTACTGTGGATTAGTGAGCCCTTTTTCCTCTGCTACAGGTTCCTGTTAAATCCCATGGGTTTCTCCTAAAACTTACCAGTGACTTGCATAGGAATTCCCTAATGAGTCACAGCCTCTGCCAGCAGCTCCAAGCCATGCTTCTCATTAATGCATGCAAATGTCTCAAAGGTGGGTGTCAAATGGATGGTGCCGAGTCTTTTCAGTGYTGCCCAGTGACATGATGAGGAGCAAAGGCCACAAACAAAGCCACYTCAACATGAGGAAGAACTTCTTTCCTCTGAGGGAGGCAGAGCACTGAAACAGACTGGCCAGGGAGGTCATGGAGTCTCCCTCTCTCTCTCCATCTGGATGTGTTCCTGTGTCACTTGCTCTAGGTGACCCTGCCTGGGCAGAGGGTTTGCTTTGGATGATCTCCAGAGCTCCCTTMCAACCCCAGCAGCTCCAGGATTCTGGCTAAGCTGTAAGGTATGAGACAGTTTGGTGCTGCTTTCACACCCTGGCTCTTTGCCTGTCGTCTGTGCTGTTATTCCCCCGTTTCCCAATCAGACTGCAGGGATCCATTCACCCAGGATCTTTCTGCAACAGCCCCCTCCTCAGGCACTGCAGGATAGGCTGTTTTGCCACAGGATGGCCCGTGGTTTGCTGCGAGGGGAGTTTCAACCCTAGCCTGTGCAGAGATGGGACACAAAGCTAGAGATTGTGCCTCATCCCTTCTCCTCCATGCATTGGCACATGGGTCTCTCTGCTGTCTGTGGCACGTGGAGCTCTCGGGAGGGCAGAGGATGCCAGGTGTTAATRAGGKCACAGAGTGAAAAATCAGGAAAAGMACGGACACAAAGGCTTTTCAGAGATTTCCACTGCTGGCTGGGAACGCTCACCTGCAACACCTCCAGTCATGCCTTTCCGCTGTTCTGTAAGGGCCAGCTCACGGGGCTGGAGCTGCTCTGRGGAAAACAGCAGCTGTGACCTGCTGCTGCCGGGATAGCCGTGATTCACACCCTCCCTGTGAGCTGAGCTGTCCCTTCTCGTTCAGAGTCCTGACATGTGCACGTTTCCAGCGTGGCATGCTCGTGACTCATCCGCCTGCGCTTTCCAGGGCTCCCTGCTCCCTCGCCTCGCTGCTCCCTCGCCCTGGCTCCCCTYGCGCTTCCTGTCATTGCAAACCCTAATTTTGAGTGTGTTTTTGGGAATGTTTTCCTGGTTTGGTGCAAAGCCCACCTCAAGCCACTCTGCAGACCGGCAGATTTAGGCCRGTTTATCCACAGAATGCCTCTTGATAAGAACTGATGTGTTCTTCTACCAGCAAAGTGTCAGGGAAGGCTCCCCTGTCAGTCCCACATCGCCCACTGACGCTACCTGGCTTGTATTCCCCGAGCGTCTCCCAGCAGCACTCCCTGCTGACATCTGGCTGTGCTCGGCTCCCGCYCCCACAATGGATATAAATGTGCGCTGACACATCTCGGGTGTGCCCACGAGCAGGGGGCGAAGCCTGAGCCCCGCTGCCCCTCACGGACCCCTCAGGGCGCCCGCAAAATGGCGGCCGGAGACCGGCGCTGCGTCCCGTCCAGCCCGGAACTACAACTCCCGGCAGCCCCCGCGCGGCGTTCCCTCTGCGGGCCTTAGCGCTCGGCAGGCCGCAGAGAAGCCTGATCAAAACAAAAAGAATTAAGAGCTGGCATTTGGGAGAACCAGTGCTTGAAATGTCCCTGGAAACGGAGGTAGCGACGCTCTTCGCGCGCCTCGCGGCCTCTGGTTTGGCCGCCAGCCTTCGTTTATCACTATGGCGATTTCCCTTTAACGGCTTGTTTGCCGCGGACGCCTCACMGATCGGGGTCCTTGGATGGGCGGGGAAAGGCAGGCCCACTGTCCAATCGGCGTGGTCGGGAGGCGGCGCCACCTGGCGCAGCGCTCAGGCCATTGGCTGGCGGTGCGGAGCGGGTGACGCGCATCCTTCCAGCTCAGCGCGTGCGGGGSTAAAAGAGGCGGGGCGGGGGGGCCYGGCCCGGCGGGCAGTAACGGCCGCGCGCGCGCGTGCGGGGAGGGGCCGTGCGCAACAACGGCCGTTCCTCCTCAGCGCTTCCCGCCGCCCGTCCCTGCTCCCGCCGCCCCGGAGGAGGATGCGCCTCCTCGCCCCGGCCGCGCCAGGTAGACGGGGGAGACGATGAGGGAGCCGCCCCGCCGGCCCCTGGCGCTGGGCTCGTGCCTCCTGCTCTGCGCCCTGCTCTGGTGAGTGCCGGCCTCTCAGCCCCGCCGCCGCCGGGGACCCCGGGCCGCGCCTGCTGCCGCGGCGGGAAGCGCTCCTTGGGCGGGATGCGGGGAGCCGCCGGTCGGGAGGTGGGGATGGGGGCCTGGGGAGTCACAGAATCGTCAGGGATGCAGGTGAGGTCTGGAGCTGATCCAGTGTAGCTCCCCTGCCCAGGTACGGTCACCTGGGGCGGGTGACACAGGAGCGCATCCTGGCGGGCTTTGAATGTGTCCAGGGAGAGAAGCCCCACGAGCTCCATAGGCAGCCTAGGAAGGGAAGGTGCTTCGTTTTGGGCAGACCGGGATGTGTGCTCRTGCTGGCGGCAGTGGTATTCTCTTAGGCAAGGTGGCAGCTTTCGGGAAGGTGATTCCCGCTGCCGGGAGCGGCACTTGTCACCTGGCAGTGTCAGCTGAGGGTTGAACCCACACWCGGGGGTTCAAAGTTACGTGTGTGTTGTTGTTGCCTCTCTGTGTTTTTATCGGAGGCATCCTTGCCTTTCCAGTTTCAGACTGAGCTCTTGCACTGTCCTCTGAAAGATTACCGTGCTTTATTCTTGAAACCCTTTTTCTGAGTATGTCAGGAGTARTGTTAAATTAAACACAACAAACCCTTTTATTTTTGCATTGATTATGCCTTTGACAGAGCTTTTTATAGTGATTACCTCAACTGTACTTTGTTCCAGCATCTCCTATTTACTTTGCTTTCAAACTTCCTTAAGAGATGACATTTACCAGAACACAAATATTAGTAGAATATATTTCTCTATGGTAAGTTCTAACCTTCTTAAACTTTGGCCCTCTTTGAACTTAGTGAGTCACTGTTTGAGAACTGATAGCCAGCTTGAACAGCAGACTGCAGATATTGCGTATGGAACAACCAAACTCTGGTGTATTCCTTCAGTAGGTTGTTCAGAYAGTCTGCTTAAAATAAGTAATTGACTTGAAGTTCTGGCTTGTCTCACAGTTGGATGAAGAGATGAAGCCCAGGCATCTCTTTGCACACAATCAGTTGCAAATCTGGTGCTGAYGCTTGTGTTACTGTGTTCGAACAGTCCTGAAACAAGTTTGGTTCGTGTCATCACATTTTTGGTTTTTGGAGACAAAAGYGAATCTAAAAAGTGCTTTGAAAACTCGGTTGCTGTGTTTACATTTAACAAAATCTAATCTAGGGTTTGATCAAATGAGCTGTCTCTAGATAGCTTTGCTTTTACTCCTGGGACAATGGAGTTTCTTCTGACAGAAGGTTTTAGTTGTAGAACTAGGATTTCTATTAAGAAAACAGTTTTTGTTTCTTGGTTGGAGTGCCTTGAGGGCTGATAATCTGCTCCTGCCTCCAGGTAGTTTGTTAGTGGGAGGTGTTTTCAGTTTAATGAGCAGTAGGTGGTCAGGTTGATGTTTTTGTTGCTGTGTTCTTAGTCAGCTGTTTCAACAGAACTTGATTTTGTGAAAAAGTTCAGGCACCTATTCCATATTAATGAAGGAA